GGCGGGAATCGTGGAGAATGCGTGCTCGCGTCGTGGAGTTTGCGGCCTCCGGTGGCCCTCGCAAGGGGCCCGTGGCCGCCGAAAGGAAGGGGCCCGGGATGGACAGGGGAACCCAGACATGATCGCGTGGTAAAAAAAAACAGCAACAAAAAAACAGGACGAAGGTTTTTCACCATTTTCGGCCCCTGGGGGCCCTCGCCGGGCCTCGGGACCGTCAAAAAACGACTCAGGACGAAAGGCTGGTCCTGGGGACAGGGTCGGGACTTCCAGGGACGCCGCGCTGAAACAATCAGGACGATGCATGTCTGGGAAAGGGTCTGGGCTTCTGGCGACACCGTCTTGACAAAGTCAACATATCGGATGGTTGAGCCCGCGGGTCCAGTCGCCGCTGTGGTGTCGGACTGTCGAACACCCCCCGCTGGGGCTCACATTGGCTGCAGGCACCCTTCAGATTCCCGACGTGCAGGAGAACGGTCGGGACGTGCAGGACAACGGTCGGGAACTTCTGCTCAGCGCGCCGCTTCACTGGTGCTGGCCCACCACGCCTCCGCGCAAAACGCCAACCAAGCCCAGGCTCCCACGCGTTAACGCCTCGAGCCTTTCAAAGCTTCCCGCCCCGCGGAGCGAAGGAGGAGGAGGAGGAGGAGGAGGAGGAGGAGGAGGAGGAGGAGCAGGAAGAGGAGGAGGAGGACGAGGACGCGGACGAGGACGAGGACGAGGAGGAGGGACGAAAACGAGGGAAGAGGAGGAGGAGAGGAGGAGGAGGAGGAGAGGAGGAGGAGAGAGAGGGGGGAGGAGGAGGAGGAGGAGGAGGAGGAGAGGAGGGGAAGAGGACGAGGAGAGGAGGAGGAGGAGGAGAGAGAGGAGGAGGGAGAGGGAGGGGAGGAGAGAGGAGGACCAGGACGAGGACGAGGACGAGGAGGAGGAGGAGGAGGCCTGTCAGCTTCGACGGCGCAGCGTGTGCGCTGGGGCCGCCGCCGCGGCGCGCCGCGCCGCTCTGCCAGGCGGGACGAGCTGACCCGGCCGGCTGAGGCGCGGTTCGGCTCCCTGTCGCGCGCGTGCACAAGCAGTTTCGAATCAAGGTCAGTCCTCCACCCCTCCTCTCCTCCTCCTCCTCCTCCTCCTCCTCCTCCTCCTCCTCCCTCCTCCCTCCTCCCTCCTCCCTCCCTCCCTCCTCCCCTCCCTCCTCTCCTCCCTCCTCCCCTCCTCCCTCCCCTCCCTCCTCCCTCCTCCTCCTCCTCCTCCTCCTCCTCCTCCGTCCTCCTCTCCTCCTCCTCCTCCTCCCATCCTCTCCACCCTACTCCTCCTCCTCGTCCTCCTCCGCCTCCTCCTCCTCCTCCTCCTCCTCCTCCTCCTCCTCCTCCTCCTCCTCCTCCTCCTCTTCCTCCTGCTCTTCTCCTCCTCCTCCTCCTCCTCCTCCTTCCTCCCTTTCCTCCCTCGTTCCCTCCCTCGTTCCCTCCCTCCCTCCCTCCCTCCCTCCCCTCCCTCCCTCCCTCCCTCCCTCCTCCTCCTCCTCCTCCTCCTCCTCTTCCTCCTCCTCCTCCCTGCATGCCGATCAAGCTCGTTACGGTGCCAGAAAATATACACCACCACCGCCTCCCTCACCCCTCCCTTTCCCAGGGAAAAGAAGAGGGGAAGAGGAAGGTAGACGAGGGAGTGGGACTGGAGGTGGTGGTGGTGTGTATTGTTGGGGTCCACGCTCTTCCCCTCCTCCGCCCCTTTCGCACGTGTCGGTCGGGTGGGCCAGGCGTTCCGCCGGGGTAAGTTTCCTCACCATTTTACGTCAGTCAAAGCTCAACAATATGCAACAGCTTCAAGGATAGAGGGGTGGTGGATTCCAAGATGTAGATCTCGCTTTCGCGCCACGCGCATTCGCTTTTAAGTTGCAGCAGCTCCAAGGATGTAGGGAGCAGCTTTCAAAACGTAGCTCTCGCGCTAGCGCTTCGCATGTTCGTTTTAAAGTTCGCAGCAGCGCCAAGGATCTAGAGGGGACCGTTTTCAAAATGTGGCTATCGCCCTACCAGCGCGCACATTCGTTTTACACGTTTGCATCAGCTTCATGGATGGAGGGGGGTCGTCGTCAAAAGGAGGCTCGCCTAAGCGCCTCACATGCTCGTCTGACAAGTCGCAGCTGAGTCAAGGATTGAATGTCGCTCCTTTCCAACATGTGGCTCCCGCAGTAGCGCGGCGCACTTTCGTCCCACGATTCTTGCAACAGCTCCAAGGCTTGAGCACTGGTCGTTTTCAAAATGTGGCTCTCGCCCCAGCGCCACACACATGACTGTTCCGCATTATTTAGAGGGACGCGGGATTGCTCTTTTCCAAACATGGGGGTTTCGCTAGATACTTCTCTAACTAGAAGCACGAAGCTTCAGCACATGTCAATGTAGCACTGCACTGAAAAAGGGCGGCTCTTTTTCAAAATGGAGTTCTCGCTCGAGATTGTCTCAGAGTTGGCGACCGCAAGCGTAAACTTCTGCAACAGTTTCATGGATACTGGGCAGTCCTTCTTCGAAACGGGGATCTCGTTGGACACTTCGCTTAACCATAATACCATAGTTCAGCGCATAATTGATTACGCGCCAGCAGGATGCAAGGTGCTTCCTTTTCAAAGAGGGGCCTTGTCCAACATGACAGGCCAAACTGCACTGGCCTTTCAAGGGGAGCGCTTCTTGCAGTCAACTTGCAGTCAAAAGGAAAGCCTGTAGGGACGTCTGAGGATGAGGAGGGGCTTAGGACGGGAGGGCGTATTCCAGCATCGCTGATGCGTCTTGGGTTTACTTTGGTCTCCTCCACCTCCTCCTCACCCTGACTTCGGACCCGCCGTACTTCTGGCTGAGTTTCCGATTTGGAAATCTCCGCCTCAAAATATGGCGGGTAATTCAGCAAAGGTATGGCGGCAACATCGACGGCAAAGCAGGGCGGAGATTCCCACCCTGCTTGCAAAATCGCCCAAGGTACGGCGGATCCGGAGTCAGTGCATCCTCCTCCTCTCGGGAGTTTCGTCATGGGGGGCGATGAATGGAGGGGGCGAAGGAAGATACACTTTTTGTACTCTGGAGGGGCCCTACCGGGCCCAAAAGTCCGAGGCGGGGATTTTACCCATATCCCTCGCCTGGGGGATCGATCCTCGCGGATATGGATGTATTTGGGCCCTCGGGGCCAAAGCCTATCCAGATCCACCGCCCGCCGGGGCACGGGGACGTCGGTTCCCGGGCGGTGGATACGTATATATATATATACAGATATATATATATATATATATATATATATGTGTATATATATATACATACATATATATGTATATATATATACATATATATATATATATATATACAGATATATAGTCCCGCCTGGCAGCAGAGGGGCATGACAGGTGCGTGTCGCTTCGCCCCCTCGATTTCTCTCCCCCCCCCCCTGGAAGCCGCGCCCACTGCTCCGCCCCCCCCTGCCGCGGCGGCGCCCCTCCGGGGCCGTGGCCGAGGGCGCCGAGGGCCCCCATCCGAAGGTGGCGGGCCCGCGCGGAGGTCCGCGCGGGCTTCTCGGCTCGGCGCTGGACGGTCCTCCTCCTCCTCCTCCTCCTCCTACTCCGCCCCTCTACTTCCCTCCTCCTCCGTCCCTCTCCCTCCTCACTCCTCCCTCCTCCTCCCTCCTCCTCCTCCTCCGCCTCCCTCCTCCTCCTCCTCCTCCGACACGTCATCATAGGCTCAGGGCGGGGGGGGTGCATCGACCCTCAGTCGCCCATTCCACGCCGACGGGAGCCCGATAGCTCGCGCTGCCCAGGATCCTCGTCCTCCTTCTCCTCCTCCTTTTCCTCCTCCTCCTCCTCCTCCTCCTCCTCCTTCTCCTTGTCCTCTTCTTCTTCCTCCTCCTCCTCTTCCTCCTCCTCTTCCTCTTCTTCCTCCTCCTCCTCCGCGATGTATCGCCGAACCAGGTCGATGTTGTCCTCCCCCGCCGAGCCAGGTCCCCGCCCTCGCTGCCCGAGTCCGCCCGGGAGCGTGGGGCGCGGGCACGCGAGGTGTTCGGTCGGGCCGGTCCCCCCTACAGGGGGATTTTGGACGACAGACCAGAAATGACCCCAAGAATATACCCAGAGATCCAGCGCAATGAAAAAATCAAGACGGAGGTGTTTCATATTTTTCGGCCTCGAGGGGCCCTCGCCGGGCCCCGGGACCGTCAGAAAACGACTCAGGATGAGAAACCGGCCCCGAGGAAAGGGTCGAGACTTCTGGGGACCCCGCATTGAAGAAAACATCACGACATCGGATCTCAGGGTACTCCACAAATGCTCGAGAATGATCCAGAACTCGTCCCCAGACTATTCTTGGACGATTTTCGACTGCTCCTCCTCTGGAGGCACCGGCCCGACTCGAGCGAAGCCGGAGGCTCCCGAAGCCGCCTCCAGCCGCGGCCCTCCCCGGAGCACCGAGCGCTCCCGAGCAGCCCGCCCGCGCGCCCCCCTCGGCGGGCCCTCGGACCTCCCGGCCGTGCCCACGGAGGGGCGCCCTGGCGCTTGCGATCCAGAGGGTGCCCATCCCACGTCCACGGATGCAGAGGGTGTCCACGGCGCTCGTCCACACGCTCGTCCACACACACACGTCCACGGATACAGAGGGTGTCCACGTCCACGGATGGGCGCCCTGGCGCTTGCGATCCAGAGGGCGCCCTGGCGCTTGCGATCCAGAGGGTGTCCACGGATACCGACGCATCTGGGCTCCAGGGAGCCCCATGGCCGCTCGGAGGGGGGCGGCGAGAGCCGCGCGTCGCGCATCGCGGGGCGCGGGCACGCGAAGTTGGAGGTCCCCGCCTGCCGCCCCGGCTCGAGCCGTGGCCCTCCCCGGAGCCCCGAGCGCTCCCAGGAGCCCGCGCGCGCGCCCCCCTCGGCGGGCCCCAGGGCCTCCCGACCGCGCCCACGGATGGTCGCCGCGGGAGGCGAACACACGGTGCTGCTCAGGAGCGACGGCACGGCCGTGGCCTTCGGCTCGAATGACCGCGGCCAGTGCGCCGTGCCGGCGCTGGACGGTGGCCTGAGCTACACGCAGGTCGCCGCGGGAGGCGCCCACACGGTGCTGCTCAGGAGCGACGGCACGGCCGTGGCCTTCGGCTCGAATGACCGCGGCCAGTGCGCCGTGCCGGCGCTGGACGGTGGCCTGAGCTACACGCAGGTCGCCGCGGGAGGCGCCCACACGGTGCTGATAAGGAGCGACGGCACGGCCGCCGTGGGCCCTTCGGCTCGAATCGCGAGGGCCCCCTCCAGTGCAACGTGCCGGCGCTGACGGTGTGCATGAGCTACACGCAGGTCGACCGCCGCGGGACCGTTCCACACGGTGCTGCTAGGAGCGGATGCACTGCCGTGGCCTTCGGCTGGAATGGTCATGGCCGGTGCGCCGTGCCGGCGCTGGACGGTGGCCTGAGCTACACGCAGGTCGCCGCGGGAAAGCACCAAACGGTGCTGCTCAAGAGCGACGGCACGGCCATGGCCTTGGGCTGGAATCACGACGGCCACTGCAGCGTGCCGGCGCTGGACGGTGGCGTGAGCTACACGCAGGTCGCCGCCGGACAGTTCCACACGGTGCTGCTCAGGAGCGACGGCACGGCCGTGGCCTTCGGCTGGAATCTCTATGGCCGGTGCGCCGTGCCGGCGCTGGACGGTGGCCTGAGCTACACGCAGGTCGCCGCGGGAGGCGAACACACGGTGCTGCTCAGGAGCGACGGCACGGCCGTGGCCTTCGGCTGGAATCGCGAGGGCCAGTGCAGCGTGCCGGCGCTGGACGGGGCGCTGACGTACACCGCGCGCCTGCTCGTCGGCGCGACGCTGCTCCTGCAGGCGTCGCTCGACGGCGGCGCGGTGCTCGGCCTGAAGGGAACGGGTCCCGAGCGGAACGGGCCCTGGGCCGTCCCCCCGGAGTCGTTGTCTGACAGTCCTAGGGCCCGTGGACGGCTTGCGGAGGCGAAGGTCGCAGCGGAACGCTCTAGGGGGCCTGGAAATGGGCACTAACACCAACGCAGGGGGTTTGCCTCCACAGGGGGAAGGCGATCCTAGATTTCGGCGTTGGCGGGAACATTTCGGCCACCTTGGAAGCCAGAATATTACCACCATCGCCGAGATCAGGATCTTCTTCCCTCGGTGGCGGCACGCCGCCGGGATTGGTGTTGGTGTCAACCTCTGGGCTCTAGGCCTGCGACACGTGAGGGCCCGTTCCCTTCCTGGCGAGGTGCCGCTTCCTGACCCTCGGGCGGGGTGGGCGCGGCCGGATGCGGGCGGCTCCTGGAGCGCGCTCGTGGCCAGCGCGACTGGCTGGCGGGCGAGCTGGCGCGGGCAGGCTGGCCCCGGGCTCGCCGCGCCGACGTCGGCCATGCCAGGCCGGACGGCTCCTGAGCGGGGACTCGGCGGTGCGAGGACCACGCAGGGGACGCCTTCGGGTTGTAGACCTCGGGTGGCCGCCGTGCTTCGTCTCGGGCCCCAGGGGGGATGCGTTCGTGGGTCCTCGGCACTTTCCAGCCTCGGGATGCGTACCAGCAGCTGCGCCTAGCCGAGAGGCGTCCGGGGGTGCCCGGATGGTTCCCGACGGCCGCCAGAGACCCGCGAGCCAGGCGACGAAGATACATCGGGGGGAATAGAGCTCAGGGTGGGGGATGCATCGACCATCAGTCGCCCATTCACGCCGACGGGAGGCCCGAGAGCTCGCGCGGCCCAGGATCCTCGTCCTTCCTCCTCCTCCTCCTCCTCCTCCTCATCTCTTATTCTTCTGCCTCCCCCTCCGCACTTCTCCTCCTCCTCCTCCTCCTCCTCTCCTTTCCTCCCCTCTTCCTCTTCTTCCTCCTCCTCCTCCGCGATGTATCGCCGAACCAGGTCGATGTTGTCCTCCCCCGCCGAGCCAGGTCCCCGCCCTCGCTGCCCGAGTCCGCCCGGGAGCGTGGGGCGCGGGCACGCGAGGTGTTCGGTCGGGCCGGTCCCCCCTACAGGGGGATTTTGGACGACAGACCAGAAATGACCCCAAGAATATACCCAGAGATCCAGCGCAATGAAAAAATCAAGACGGAGGTGTTTCATATTTTTCGGCCTCGAGGGGCCCTCGCCGGGCCCCGGGACCGTCAGAAAACGACTCAGGATGAGAAACCGGCCCCGAGGAAAGGGTCGAGACTTCTGGGGACCCCGCATTGAAGAAAACATCACGACATCGGATCTCAGGGTACTCCACAAATGCTCGAGAATGATCCAGAACTCGTCCCCAGACTATTCTTGGACGATTTTCGACTGCTCCTCCTCTGGAGGCACCGGCCCGACTCGAGCGAAGCCGGAGGCTCCCGCTCCGCCTCCAGCCGCGGCCCTCCCCGGAGCACCGAGCGCTCCCGAGCAGCCCGCCCGCGCGCCCCCCTCGGCGGGCCCTCGGACCTCCCGGCCGTGCCCACGGAGGGGCGCCCTGGCGCTTGCGATCCAGAGGGTGCCCATCCACGTCCACGGATACAGAGGGTGTCCACGGCGCTCGTCCACACGCTCGTCCACACACACACGCACGTCCACGGATACAGAGGGTGTCCACGTCCACGGAGGGGCGCCCTGGCGCTTGCGATCCAGAGGGCGCCCTGGCGCTTGCGATCCAGAGGGTGTCCACGGATACCGACGCATCTGGGCTCCAGGGAGCCCCATGGCCGCTCGGAGGGGGGCGGCGAGAGCCGCGCGTCGCGCATCGCGGGGCGCGGGCACGCGAAGTTGGAGGTCCCCGCCTGCCGCCCTGGCTCGAGCCGTGGCCCTCCCCGGAGCCCCGAGCGCTCCCAGGAGCCCGCGCGCGCCCCCCTCGGCGGGCCCCCGGGCCTCCCGACCGCGCCCACGTATGGTCGCCGCGGGAGGCAAACACACGGTGCTGTCAAGAGCGACGGCACGGCCGTGGCCTTCGGCTGGAATAACGCCGGCCAGTGCAACGTGCCGGCGCTGGACGGTGGCCTGAGCTACACGCAGCTCGCCGCGGGAGGCGCCCACACGGTGCTGCTCAGGAGCGACGGCACGGCCGTGGCCTTCGGCTCGAATCGCGACGGCCAGTGCAACGTGCCGGCGCTGGACGGCGGCCTGAGCTACACGCAGGTCGCCGCGGGACGCTTCCACACGGTGCTGCTCAAGAGCGACGGCACGGCCGTGGCCTTCGGCTGGAAGCGCAGGGGCCAGCTGCCGCCGTGCCGGCGCTGGGGACGGTGGCCTGAGCTACACGCAGGTCGCCGCGGGACGGGTCCCATACCCGGTGCTGGCTCAAGAGCGACGGCACGGCCGTGGCCTTCGGCTGGAATCGCGAGGGCCAGTGCGCCGTGCCAGCGCTGGACGGTGGCCTGAGCTACACGCAGGTCGCCGCGGGACAGTTCCACACGGTGCTGCTCAGGAGCGACGGCACGGCCGTGGCCTTCGGCGAGAATGGCCTCGGCCAGTGCGCCGTGCCGGCGCTGGACGGTGGCCTGAGCTACACGCAGGTCGCTGCGGGACAGTCCCATACGGTGCTGCTCAGGAGCGACGGCACGGCCGTGGCCTTCGGCTCGAATCGCGAGGGCCGGTGCGCCGTGCCGGCGCTGGACGGTGGCCTGAGCTACACGCAGGTCGCCGCTGGAGGCGCCCACACGGTGCTGCTCAGGAGCGACGGCACGGCCGTGGCCTTCGGCACGAATCGCGAGGGCCAGTGCAGCGTGCCAGCGCTGGACGGGGCGCTGACGTACACCGCGCGCCTGCTCGTCGGCGCGACGCTGCTCCTGCAGGCGTCGCTCGACGGCGGCGCGGTGCTCGGCCTGAAGGGAACGGCGGGTCCCGAGCGGAACGGGCCCTGGGCCGTCCCCCCGGAGTCGTTGTCTGACAGTCCTGGGGCCCGTGGACGGCTTGCGGAGGCGAAGGTCGCAGCGGAACGCTCCAGGGGGCCTGGAAATGGGCACTAACACCAACGCAGGGGGTTTGCCTCCACAGGGGGAAGGCGATCCTAGATTTCGGCGTTGGCGGGAACATTTCGGCCACCGTGGAAGCCAGAATATTACCACCATCGCCGAGATCAGGATCTTCTTCCCTCGGTGGCGGCACGCCGCCGGTATTGGTGTTGGTGTCAACCTCTGGGCTCTAGGCCTGCGACACGTGAGGGCCCGTTCCCTTCCTGGCGAGGTGCGCTTCCTGACCCTGGGCGGGGTGGAGCGCTGCCGGGTGCGGGCGGCGCCCGGCGCGCCGCTCGCTGGCGTGCGCGACTGGCTGGCGGGCGAGCTGGGCGCGGGCAGGCTGGGCCCCGGGCTCGCCCGCGCCGACGCGGCCCTGCCAGGCGGACGGCTCCTGAGCGGGGCCTCGGCGTGCGAGACCGTCGCAGACGCCTTCGGGTTGTAGACATCGGGTCGCCGCCGTGCTTCGTCCTGGGCCTTGGGGTGTCATCCAGGGAGGGATGTTTTCGTGGGCCTCGGGATGCGTACCAGCAGCTGCGCCTCGCCGAGAGGCGTCTGGGGGTGCCCGGATGGTCCCCGACAGCCGCCAGAGACCCGCGAGCCAGGCAACGAAGATACATTGGGGGGAATAGGCTCAGGGCGGGGGGGTGCATCGACCCTCAGTCGCCCATTCCACGCCGACGGGAGCCCGATAGCTCGCGCTGCCCAGGATCCTCGTCCTCCTCCTCCTCCTCCTCCTCCTCCTCTTCTTCGTCTTCTTCCTCCTCCTCCTCCGCCTTCTCCTCCTCCTCTTCCTCCTCTTCTTCCTCCTCCTCCTCCTCCTCCTCCGCGATGTGTCGCCGAGCCCAGGTCGATGTTGTCCTCCCCCGCCGAGCCAGGTCCCTGCCCTCGCTGCCCGAGCCCGCCCGGGAGCGTGGGGCGCGGGCACGCGAGGTGTTCGCTCGGGCCGGTCCCCCCTACAGGGGGATTTTGGACGACAGACCAGAAATGACCCCAAAAATATACCCAGAGATCCAGCGCAATGAAAAAATCAAGACGGAGGTGTTTCATATTTTTCGGCCTCGAGGGGCCCTCGCCGGGCCGCGGGACCGTCAGAAAACGACTCAGGATGAGAAACCGGCCCCGAGGAAAGGGTCGAGACTTCTGGGGACCCCGCATTGAAGAAAACATCACGACATCGGATCTCAGGGTACTCCACAAATGCTCAAGAATGATCCAGAACTCGTCCCCAGACTGTTCTTGGACGATTTTCGACTGCTCCTCCTCTGCAGGCACCGGCCCGACTCGAGCGAAGCCGGAGGCTCCCGCTCCGCCTCCAGCCGCGGCCCTCCCCGGAGCACCGAGCGCTCCCGAGCAGCCCGCCCGCGCGCCCCCCCTCGCGGGCCCTGCGTACCTCCCGGCCGTGCCCACGAGGGGCGCCCTGGCGCTTGCGATCCAGAGGGTGCCCATCCCACGTCCACGGATGCAGAGGGTGTCCACGGCGCTCGTCCAGACGCTCGTCCACACACACACACGTCCACGGATACAGAGGGTGTCCACGTCCACGGATGGGCGCCTGGGCGCTTGCGATCCATAGGGCGCCCCTGTCGCTTGGATCCAGATGGTGTCCACGGATACCGGACGCATCTGGGCTCCAGGGATCCCATGGCCGCCTAGGGGGGCTGCGAGAGCCGCGCGTCGCCATCGCGGGAGCGCGGCAGCGCGAAGTTGGAGGTCCCACGCCTGCCGCGACGGCTCGAGCCGTGCCTCCCGGAGCCCCGAGCGCTCCCAGGAGCCCGCGCGCGCCCCCCTCGGCGGGCCCCCGGGCCTCCCGACCGCGCCCACGGATGGTCGCCGCGGGAGGCGAACACACGGTGCTGCTCAGGAGCGACGGCACGGCCGTGGCCTTCGGCTCGAATGGCCTCGGCCAGTGCGCCGTGCCGGCGCTGGACGGTGGCCTGAGCTACACGCAGGTCGCCGCGGGAGGCGCCCACACGGTGCTGCTCAGGAGCGACGGCACGGCCGTGGCCTTCGGCTCGAATGGCCTCGGCCAGTGCGCCGTGCCGGCGCTGGACGGTGGCCTGAGCTACACGCAGGTCGCCGCGGGAGGCGCCCACACGTTGCTGCTCAGGAGCGACGGCACGGCCGTGGCCTTCGGCTGGAATCGCGAGGGCCAGTGCGCCGTGCCGGCGCTGGACGGTGGCCTGAGCTACACGCAGGTCGCCGCGGGAGGCGCCCACACGGTGCTGCTCAGGAGCGACGGCACGGCCGTGGCCTTCGGCTCGAACATCTTCGGCCAGTGCAGCGTGCCGGCGCTGGACGGTGGCCTGAGCTACACGCAGGTCGCCGCCAGACAGTTCACACGGTGCTGCTCAAGAGCGACGGCACGGCCGTGGCCTTCGGCTGGAATCGCGACGGCCAGTGCAGCGTGCCGGCGCTGGACGGTGGCCTGAGCTACACGCAGGTCGCCGCGGGACAGTCCCATACGGTGCTGCTCAAGAGCGACGGCACGGCCGTGGCCTTCGGCTCGAATGACCTCGGCCAGTGCGCCGTGCCGGCGCTGGACGGTGGCCTGAGCTACACGCAGGTCGCCGCGGGAAAGTACCATACGGTGCTGCTCAGGAGCGACGGCACTGCCGTGGCCTTCGGCAGGAATGGTCATGGCCGGTGCGCCGTGCCGGCGCTGGACGGGGCGCTGACGTACACCGCGCGCCTGCTCGTCGGCGCGACGCTGCTCCTGCAGGCGTCGCTCGACGGCGGCGCGGTGCTCGGCCTGAAGGGAACGGGTCCCGAGCGGAACGGGCCCTGGGCCGTCCCCCCAGAGTCGTTGTCTGACAGTCCTGGGGCCCGTGGACGGCTTGCGGAGGCGAAGGTCGCAGCGGAACGCTCTAGGGGGCCTGGAAATGGGCACTAACACCAACGCAGGGGGTTTGCCTCCACAGGGGGAAGGCGATCCTAGATTTCGGCGTTGGCGGGAACATTTCGGCCACCTTGGAAGCCAGAATATTACCACCATCGCCGAGATCAGGATCTTCTTCCCTCGGTGGCGGCACGCCGCCGGTATTGGTGTTGGTGTCAACCTCTGGGCTCTAGGCCTGCGACACGTGAGGGCCCGTTCCCTTCCTGGCGAGGTGCGCTTCCTGACCCTGGGCGGGGTGGAGCGCTGCCGGGTGCGGGCGGCGCCCGGCGCGCCGCTCGCTGGCGTGCGCGACTGGCTGGCGGGCGAGCTGGGCGCGGGCCGGCTGGGCCCCGGGCTCGCCCGCGCCGACGCGGCCCTGCCAGGCGGACGGCTCCTGAGCGGGGCCTCGGCGGGCGAGACCGTCGCGGACGCCTTCGGGTTGTAGACATCGGGTCGCCGCCGTGCTTCGTCCTGGGCCTTGGGGTGTCATCCAGGGAGGGATGTTTTCGTGGGCCTCGGGATGCGTACCAGCAGCTGCGCCTCGCCGAGAGGCGTCTGGGGGTGCCTCCTGCTCCTCCTCCTCCTCCTCCTCCTCCTCCTCCCCTCCACCTCCTCCTCCTTCCTCCTCCGCCCATCCTCCTCCTACCGCCCTCCCTCCTCCTCCCCTCCTCCTCCTTCCTCCTCCTCCTCCTCCTCCTCCTCCTCCTCCTCCAGCGGCGCCGGAGGCGCCGCCAGGGCAGGCCGAGCGCCGATCCCAGAAATCCGCTCGGACACAAGCACAGGTTCTCGCCCGAAGTTCGAGAGGCTCTATCTTCATGCCGTGTCCTGTTCTCCCGGCGGCGTCGCGCCTGGGAGTCCGGGCGAGGCGCCGGAGTAGGGGCCGCGTTGGCTCAGGAGGGGCTCCGGTCAGCTTCGTGTCGTGGAGCCTGTCTGTGGTGATCGCTGCTTTGCTCACTGTTTTGCCGATCGGCGCGGGCCCCCCAACTCCCCTCCCCCCTCCCCCCATGGATCGGAGGTTGATAAACCTCCTACCCTGACACGTCGATTAGCGAATTGGCTGTTTTCGGTTCGCGAGAGGGCGTCGCGGCCGTCATTTTTGCGGGTCCAGGTCCGTCGGTTTCGGTCCCAGGCCGCTTTCACTACAGGGTGGTTTACTAAAGGGAGGCTCGTCCACCGCCGAATGGAGTAGATCTTGGCTGTTTTCTGACGCCTGTTTCGAGCGGGCGGCGTCTCCCCCAGAGACAGCACTCTTGCAAACAGTCGCACTGAGCAGAGGCCTGGAGCCAGACCCCCCCCCTCTCCCCCCTTTCCGCTCAAAGTCGAAGCGCCGAATAAGAAAACGCTCACGTGGCCCAGTCCCGCCGTGGCAAGCAGAGCTCCCTCGTTCCTCATGGCGCGTTTCCTCGTGGCAGCGCGACGGCTGCAATCAAGGGAGGAAGAACCGCCCGGACCCGATGCTCGGCGTTTCCTAAGCGGCTCTGGGCGTTCACGAAGCAGCCCTTCCCTGTTCGATTCTTGCTCCGGGTGCGTTTACGACGCGGCTTCGCGTGTCGGAGAGGGTGGAGGAGGAGGAGGAGGAGGAGGAGGAGGAGGAGGAGG